ATCCATCCATCCATCCATCCATCCATCCATCCTACTCCAATATTCCTCCGCTTGAAGGAGTGTTTGGTGGCCTCTGCCCTTGAGTATCCAGATGTTGGGAGTGCTTCTTCTGGACATCCTTGAGTCCCCGCCCCCCCCCCCTTTCCTGGTCTGTGGCCAGAATCAAACCCGCCATTTTCCTCGTAGGAATTCCTGCTCCAAGAGTCCCGCAAATGGGTCACCGTGGTTGATCACCATCACGTCTCGCAGAAGATCTGGATCGGTTTGTCCTTCAACTTGTCTCAGAGGACCTGGCATTGGACAGATGGAGAACTCATGCACATCCAGATGTGAGGTTCACCTCTTCCCCTCCCAGGGCTGGGGGGGGGAGCACGGGAGACAAAAGTGTGGGGAGGGGTCCTTTCTTTAAACTTTAAAACAGGGCTCTCTCACTGGGGAAGTTTGCAGAGATACCCAACACTTTCGGGAGGGGGTCTCCAACCAAGGCAACTTTAAGACTTGTGGACTTCAACTCCCAGAATTCCTCAGCCAGCTCTCTGGGAGTTAAAATCCACAAGTCTTAAAGGGGCCCCGCTTGGAGACCCCTTCTTCCAAACATCTTCTTCAATGTTTTCGAATCTTTTTAAAAGTCCTGCTTTAAACAACAGCCAACGACAGGGGGTGGGAACACACCTGGAAGGGAGGCCTCGACTTATAGCACTTTGTTTAGTGACCGTCCGGAGTTACAACAGCGACTCAGGACCGTTTCCCATGCTTATGACTGACGCAGCCTCCCGCTGGAAGCCACCTCTAAACCAGGTTACTAACATCATGTGTAGTGATGATCTTTTTAGTGCCCTTATAATTTTGAATCAATGAATGGTTGTAAGTGGAGGACTGCCTGCCCATTTTTTTCGATCAGTAACTTCTTGATGTATTTATTTTTTACACTCCCGTAGCGGATCCGCCCATGCCGGGATGCCTTGTCTCCACCGTGAATGTTGCATGGCGATTAGCAACGGAGAGGCCGTCCCCGGGCCCTGCCACGAGAAGTTCAGGTGTCTGTGCAAGAAAATGGTGCACTGAAACCACCCACGGGCACCCCAAACTGTCCTCCCCCGCCCCACTTTTGCAATAAAGGCTCCCCTCGCTCATCAGGTGACCCGGGGAAGCGCCCCCCCCCTGAATGGAAACGCCCCAAAGATGGATCTTCTTTTCCAACAAAATTAAATGCCTTGATCAAATGCTTCCATTCCTTCGATTCCCATTCGTTTATCCTCTTCTTTTATATCTCCCAAATGCTGGGGGGGGGGTTCCCCCCACTCTTGCAGCGTCTAAATTTTTTAAAACAATTCACGGTGACCGTTGATGTTTATTTGACGTTTTCAGGGACTTCTAGATATTTTATTTTTAGTATTGCCGCTCCCAATTTTGCTTGTCAATCACGGCTCTGATACAGACGTCAATGAAATTGAGTTGACCTTCTCCAGGATGAGAGATTCCCCCCAGTCTGTGCCACTGGGTGTGTCCCATGGAAGATTTTTGGCAAGTTGCCCCTCTTTTCTCGTCCTCCTGTAAAAAGGGCCTTAATAGAAGGCCGGAGCCTTGGATGGTCTTGGAGGGGGCTGCTCCCCTTGTCCTTCTACTGGCCGCCCCCAGGGCCTGCTCCTTCCACGGGACCCCCTTCCTCTCCCCCTAGGATCCCCTCGTTCCCGAGACGGACTCTTCGGTAGGAAGGAGTATTTTCACCACCTTGGAAGGGGGGGTGAAGGGCTCCCCGGCCCCCAGAATCAGGGCCTTCTGTAAGGTTTCTCGGTGGGTCTGGCTCAGCCTGGGGGTATCGTAGTGGATTCGGATCCAGGGAGCTCCTGGAAGGAAAAGGGAGAGAGAATGAACCCCAACCGGTGAGGGGATTCCGTTTCTTTTACTGCCGGTTCTGTGGGCGTGGCTTGGTGGGTTTGGTTTGGTGGGCGTGGCAGGGCAAGGATACTGCAAAATCCCCATTCCCTCCCAATCAGATGGGACTCCGGAGGCAGAGAATAGATGGGGGCGGGGCCAGCCAGAGGTGGGATTTTGCCGATTCTCCGAACTACTCAAAATTTCCACTTCCGTTTCTCCAGAATCGGCTGGATGCCACCTCTGCTCCCAACTCTCTTCTAGCATTGATGGTGTTACCTAGTTGGGTCATGAAACGTCCACAAGGAAATTCAGAGGGCACCAAAGAGCCCACAATCCTCCTCCTCCTCCTCCCCGCACCCTCTCCTGGCACTAATGATGTTATCTAGCTGGTCATGAATCATCTGCAAAACAGCAAAACTTCCCTAGACCACCAAGTATTCCCTAGTTTTCCTCCTCCTCCTCCTCCTCCTCCTCCTCCTCCTCCTCCTCCTCCTCCGGCTTGAGGGAGGGTACTGCATTTGCAGCTACCTGGGCCCCCTTTCTAGGGTGGGCTCTGCCTTTCTGATTGCCCAAAGGCCTCCCTGGCGTTGTCCCACCACCCTCTCGGCACTCTCGGGGGTCCGCAGTCGTTACCTTTGGCCACTCGCTTCCCCGTGGAGACCAGCAGCTCCGCGCCCACCCGGGGGTTGATCCTCTGCCCCTCCTGGGTGCGTCCGGCTCCCAAGGCGTGCAGCACCTGTGCGATGGGCAGAGCCTGGATCTGCTGCACGGTCCCTGCAGGGAGAGAAGACGGGCAGCATGGGCGCCCCCCCCCACTCTGGGAGGGGGAGGGATTCTCCAGCGCCACTCAGGAAGAAGGGAAGAAAACTCCCCCCTCCAGCTCCTAGGAGTCTCCGTCTTTGGTGCAGCTCCTGTTCCTTCCTTCTCAATCTCCTTCTTTCCTTCCTTCCTTTCCTTCCTTTCCTTCCTTTCTTCTTTTCCTCCCTCCCTCCCTTTCCTTCCTTCCTCTTTCTTTCTTTCCATTTTTCTCTTTTCTTCCTTTCCTCTTTTCCTTCCCTCATTTCCTCCTTCCCTCCCTACCTCATGCCTCCCCTCCCCTCCTCCCTTCTTCCTTCTTTCATTCTTCCTTTCCTTCCTTTCTTCCTTCCTCCCTTCTTTCATTCTTCCTTCCTCCCTTCTTTCATTCTTCCTTTCCTTCCTTTCTTTTCCTCCCTCCCTTTCCTTCCTTCCTCTTTCTTTCTTTCCATTTTCTCTTTTCATCCTTTCCTCTTTTCCTTCCCTCCTTCCCTCCTTCCCTCCCTCCCTTCCTCCCTCCTTCCTTCTTTCATTCTACCTTTCCTTCCTTTCTTCCTTCCTCCCTTTTTTCATTCTTCCTTCCTTCTTTCAATCTTCCTTTCCTTCCTTTCTTCTTTTCCTCCCTCCCTTTCCTCCCTTCCTCTTCCTTCCTTCCTTCCTTCCTTCCTTTCTTTTTTCCATGTCCTCTTTTCTTCCTTCCTTTCCTTCCTTCCTCTTCCTTCCTTTCTTTCTTTCCTTTCTTTCTTTCTTCCTTCTTTTCCTCTCTCCCTTTCCTTCCTCTTTCTTTCTTTCTTTCTCTCCATTTTCTCTTTTCTTCCTTTCCTCTTTTCCTTCCCTCCCTCCTTCCTTCCTTCCTTCCATCAGGAAAGGGCCTGGGGTGGGGGGAGATTTGCTGTGCTCCCCTCCTACCCTCTTCCGGGGCCTGCAGCTCCTCCTGGGTGGTGGCCACTTTCAGCACTTGCAAACGCTGCTCCTCCGTCCCTTCGCACAGCAGGCGGGACACCTCGGCCGCCACCCCTTGAGCCTGAAGCATGGCCTGGAAAGTGCGCAGGGCAGCGCCGCTGTCCAGGGCTTGGCCGATCCGGGTGGCCCCCGCGGGCACCGAGCCTACTCGCCCGATTTGCCACAGCAAGATGCCTCCTGGAGGGAGAGAGAAAGAGGGAGAAGTCGCCCAGGGGGGGCACGGAAGACCGAGCCCAGAGGGAGCGTTTAGATACGGGCGGGGGGCTCAGGGGTTTCTGCCCAATGCAGGGACTGAGGGAGCGTAAATGGTAGACTCCAAGGGTTAAGAGGGTCCATTGAGGTCATTTAGCCCAACCCCCTTTTCCAGGTAGGAATTCCTATTCAAGTATCCCTCACAGTTGTCGGTCAAGGACCTGGTTGGACACGTACTGCCCATCAGTTTGGCTGAGTCCCCCCCCCCGAAACTTCCTCGCCCACCTTCCCTGCCTGCTTGAGGGGCACCATCCCGGCGCCACCCCTGAGTCCCACCTAGTGTGGTGACCAGCTCACGGAGGTCCCCGGGGCCCCCTCCTTCCAGGCACTGCAAGGCTTCGAGGACTTCCAAGGAGTTGCCCACCCGGACCCCCACGGGCTCATCCATCCTGCTCAGAACGGCTGCTGTTTTCGTCCCCAGCTGGTTTCCGACGGACACCTGGGGAAGGGGGAGAGAACAGAAGGGGGTAGGGTCTCCTGCTCAAACAGGGGGTCGGACTAGAACAGTGTTTCTCAACCTTGGCCACTTGAAGATGTCTGGACTTCAATTCCCAGAATTTCCCAGCAGTGGTTAGGACAGTGTTTCTCAACCTTGGCCACTTGAAGATGTCTGGACTTCAATTCCCAGAATTTCCCAGCAGTGGTTAGGACAGTGTTTCTCAACCTTGGCCACTTGAAGATGTCTGGACTTCA